TTGTTTATCCTCTCCTGCAACGAGACTTACGTCTGACTGATCTGGCTGATCAAGAGGCAATTTAAGGACAACCCCCAAGAGTCCTCAGGAATTTTTTAACGTCGCAATCAGGATGACGATCACAGCCAGTGGACAGTTCAGACCCCAACCATAAATATTTATAGACGGTCTGGGAGCGTCTGCATAGGACTGGTCAGTCCACACACCCCTTCTATCAGCGCAGCAAAGAGCCTCAAAGGACAAAGCAGCATGGCCTGCGTGTGCTACTCCCATGGGTTGGCATGGTGACCGTGACCCGTGCTTCGACAAGGGCCCTTCAGAGGTACCGCCCTCTCCTGCCAGATGCGCCACCGGAAAGAATGTCGTCTCTCAAGGTAGAGCGCACACGACTCCTCACACAAAAAAAAGGACACTCAAGGTTGGACTCACTTCCTCGCGGTAAGAAGAGATTGAGAGGGTAGATAAGAAATGGGAACAATGTACCTAGAGATAGGCGCCCCCAACCACAGATTTCTCACCAATTGAGCCGACGTGCATTTCGATTACCGGTCATAGCCTCGGTACCACCCACAACGTGATGCAATGCCACCTCAGCCAAAATGCCACAGCAGCATACTCTCATCATCATACATACATCCGCTGTCGCCACATCTCCCACGCTATCGCCGACTCACCGCAGCCTTCCAACGGCCGGCGCCTTTACTTGGGCCCCGCTATATCAAACCAGTGTCAATGTATCCTTACTTCACAGAAGCATCTTAACGCACCAAATAACAATGTCACCGGCTATGAATCCCCCGTGGTCATGACCGCGGGGTCAATCTCGGATTGCGGACGGGATCCCGACCGCAGGCCATGGCCCCCGCGGTTGGGTGCGGCCGAGAATTTCACATATTTTTTAAAACATATTTAATGGACCAAAAAAAAAACAAAAAATATGGGGTTGTAGGGTTTGAAAATACCTACAACCCTGTATTTTTTTTTTTAAATTTATGAAATGTCTGTTTGGTGAGCGATACAATATAGTTGATTTTGTAGGCTGTTTTAAATTACTAGGCTGAGTTCCACCACATCCCCATCAAAATTCAGATGACCTTTGTACATCACTTTGGTGAGCGATACAATATAGTTGATTTCGTAGAGGCCCTCCAACTCTATCTTGCAAGAGCGACAACCAGCCTGCTGTTGGCGTTGGACTTTCCATCAGATCAGCCGTTCCTTCTTGATGATGTGATATCCTTCCACATATCCTTTCACATCAGGGGGCGAGATTACAAGGTCTACACAACACATAAGCTCCGCCCCTTGTGTTTTACGTGTAAGGTGTGCACAAACTAGAAAATGGCAGAACATCAAACTTAAGGAAAATTCAGTTCAAAATCAATCGCGCGAGCCAACAGGATGGAAATAGGGCACAGCAGTGGTGGAGATGGTGGCTCCACGGAGGTAAGTCTTGCCGGAGTAAGGTTGTGAGGGACAGATGGATGGTTTGATCGATGTCGGTGACCATGGGGGAGCTGAAGCTGTCGAAACACTGTCATTGGGTTGATTGGCAGTTCGTCTGACGCGTACTAATGTCCTTGGTCTTGGTGGCTTGCTAATGGGCGAGGCCAGAACGATGGTGGCCAGTGCTGGGGATGGTCGCGCGGCCCTGTAACTCGAGCAGCACGAGGGTATGAGGCATGGTAGATAGATCTGGGGAACTGTAGAGGCTGGAAGGCACTCCAGTGTCTGTTGGCAAGCTGGGACTCAGGCAACACTGGTTGGAGCCCAGGCGGGTCGCCTGGCACTGTAGCCTAGCAGGTGGGGCATCGTTCTAGAGTGGGTCGCGCCACTCTGTAACCTAGCGGGTGGGGGCATGAGGCCTGGAAGAGACTGGGTATCGAGGATACGAGGGCCGAGGTAGCTTTAGGGCTTGGTTGCTGAAAGGCACCAAGGTGGCTCAGTTTCGGGCTGAAAGCTCCCATGGATCAAAGGTCCCAGGTTCGGACAGGTCTTCTGAGCCTTGTCTGTTTCATGCCTATATCGTGGAATGGAGTGGAATGGAGTGGAATGGATTAGCGTATTCATGGCTTTTCTTAAATCCTCCAGGTAATTCTTAGCCAAAGCCAGGTAATTGTCCCTGAAATCCATATGTTTTGTAAAATTCTATACGGGATCTATTTATATTATTGCATGTATGTATGTGCATATATGTGTAGGTGCGTTACGGTATTGGTTCGAATAGTGTGTTATGGGAGGCTTACGGTAGTGCCCGGCCGTGCAGGCCAGGCAGGGCACCCCTCGAGCTCGCCCAGCTGGCTGCTTGCACAGAGTACCCTGAGCAGGCCAAATCTGCCTCCTTTTTTTTTTCCCTTTTCAGTTTTGTTGGGGCGCCTCTGCACCATCCTGGCTCTGCCCGAATCTGGGCTCATGTTTCCAAATTCCAATCAAAAACTCCTCAGGTTTTGACTTCTGTGCAGATTCGACTATGAACTGTACCAGACGATAAACCTATCAAAAAGACCAGAGACAGATCTACAGACTGTAAATCCCCTATGGATTGACCCATCGTGGACTGGTGGCATCACCATCACCATCATGATGATGATCATCATCATCTTCAGGATAAAAAAAACGCATCATCGTCATCTTCAGGGTTAAAAGAATGCCTTTTTTTTTTTTTTTTTTTTTTTTTTAACACACCCCCACCAGTGTTAGCGGTGCTGATAAGAGCAGACACCACTAACACCTGGGGAGAGGCTCCATCTATTGGTGGGGAGCATCACCTGCTGGGAAACGGGTCCAGCGTCCCATATACAGAAAATGAGAATGTCTGAGAACAGTTTTGAGAACTTCGGTTGCCATCTGTAACTCTTCACCCTCAAAAGAAGGGTGCCAGATAAAACAGTTAAGGGTTGGACCAGGTACTATTTCCAGTTTGGTGGCATGAACTACCTGAAATTTCATCCTGAGTTTTTGAAAAACTGCTCACTCCCATCCAGAACTTTGTGACCAAGACCAGTGCTGTATTTTCAGTGACATACACTGCTTCTTTGGGGAAAATCCTTAAACCCCTTAACCCTTGCTCCTCTCCCAGGTGTCTGATACCCTAGCAGTATCTTTTCCACTTTCCTTTCTTAATTTCCTCAATCCCTCCCATACCATTCCAAACCCACCAAGCAGTTTGATGGGGGGAGGGGAAGGGATCAGGGAATTCTTCGCTGGGTCTCATCGGGATTGCTGTATCGATCTTAGTCCACTCATGAAAAAAAGGAGCCGGTAGTCTCTCACTAGATCCTTTCTCCCTTGTCCCTCCCCTAGGCCCTTTTGTCCCCCTGCCCCTTGCCATTCCACTTTCTCAATCCTCCCCCCGTTGTCCCCTCCAAGCCAGCTCAGGCTAAATTCCTTGATTTTTTGTTGGATGTCTGTTTGTGAATGTAGTAATTGGATCTGAGACTTAACTTTCTCCCACTTTGCCCTTATTCCTGTCCAAGTTATGAGAATCATGACGCTGGCGCAGTGCGACCGGGAGCGCTGCGCCCCACCCACGCAGACGGACCAAGCGATGTCAGGCGGCAGCATCGACGGGAGGGAGGGTGCAGTGCGGCGGCGCGCTGCAAGGTTGGGGGAGGGAGGTGAGGTGGTTGAGTGGCTTGGGGCATATGGAGGACTACAAGAAGGACGGTGACGAGGATGCGTCGTGGTTGCTTGTATGAGGATGGCGCCACGTGAGGAGAGGTTGGCGACGATGTCACATGAGGGTTCATGGTTAGTAGCTTATTCTCCTCCGCTTTGCTTCATCTACACTTCGTGAAGTGGCAGACATAGGGTTCTGTTGAGGGCTTGAATCTCCTGTGGTAACTCGTCGACGGGCTGGAAGAGGCGTTACCACACCATCCAATACTCAATAGGGTTGTGGATGGTTGTTGATACCTTTGTTGCTGGCGTCGACACTATGGTCGGCAGCTGAAGCTGTCATAGCCGGCAGATGGAGGGAGGATTGACGTTCCCCTCCCGAAGGTGGTGGGGTTGGTTTAAGTGTTGATAGGTGGATGAAAGGGAGGCAGGGGGAGTTTTTTCGAAGGACTTTTCATGGAGAATAACGCTTCAAGGAAGAGGGAGGACATGGCCATCTCACGTGAAGCTTGCTGCGCGTGATGAAGGTTTGCGCGTCAACACGATCTCAGGGTTTCGGTCTCAATAGTTTTTTGATTTGGTTGACTTTGTATTGCATGTTTGCCCTCTCTATTTTGATTCCTAAATCCGCATGTTGTGATCCTTGATGCTCACCAAATGATGATGATCTAATCAGGTTTCCGAATTCCGTCTTCTCTATTCTAATTTCTAAGTTCGTATGTTGTAATTCTTGATGCTGCCAATTTATCTTTTCTATGCTGTAATCCTAGATGTTCATACGATAATTTTCCTGATTAGCATTTTCCTGATTTACGGTTTGAGCGATTTTCTGAACCCTGGGTTCGGGAAATCAGAGTCGAAAGTCCGGTTGGACATCAGAATCGTTTTTCTATTGTGTTTCCTTTGGATTTTCAAAGTCATCAAATACTACAAATAGTATATTCGGTCTGAGCGATTTTCCTTTTCCCAATCTTATTTGTATCTCGATGGATTTTCTGATTTTGATGCTAACAAGTTTTTACTTGTAATAAGTCTTAGCGATTTTTCTACTTCCATCTTATTTGTATTGATGAATTTTCTGAATTCGATGCTATTTAGTTTTTACTTAGTAATTAGTCTCAGCAAGGGTGTCTCAACCTGTGATGTGTCAACACCTTTGGACTCTCTAGTTTTAGTCTGTTTTGGGGGGTATGGAAATCTTGAGGCTCAACATGAGCTTTGTAGGGCTTGGGCTCACAAGTATTGATCGGGGTTATTTCCTCAGGATTGGAGCTCCTCCCTGCGAAGGCTACACAAGGTTGGAGGTGTTGTCCTTAAGAGGGTAGGGGAGGTAATGTGGGATTGTCCTTTTCTGGGTCGTGTTGATCTTTGGGTCGGATCAGTGTGGCAGTTGGGGAGAGTGGACAAGGGGTGCTGAATTCAGCAAGATGCGAGGTAGAGAGGGCTGTTTCACTAGGAGGGGGTGGGACAGCCAGCTCTGCGGGGGCATACTCTAGGGGGAATTGTGTGCTGCCGAGGGAGCGGGAATGGCCGTTTAGGGGCTGTTCTGAACTGGGGCCGGTGTGGTGAGTCCCGTGAGGGAGCACCTTCCGGCGGAGGCAGTGTATGGACAGAGGGACATTTTTGAGGGAGGAGTAATTTCCGGAAATTTTTTTTTTGAGTTCTTCATGTTCGGTTGAGCTTCAAATAGACACCGGAACCGCTACAGGATGAGGGGTTATTTTTCCCTCCCTTCCTCTCGTTTCATGGAGGTAGAAGGGGTTTTCTCTGCCTTTATCTGAGTCAAATTTCTCTGAAGGAGGGCAGGGGGGGGTTTAGAACCGGAGGATGAAATTCAGTCAGGAGGTTCTCAATAGAGGAATGATTGTTGGGCAAGTAGGTCAGAAGAACGAACCTGGGACGACACAGGCCGGTGCTGGAGCTTTGTTTCTGTGACCCAGGGGTAGCTTGAGGCTTGTGGAGTTATGCTGAGGGTGGAAGGCATAACCAGATCGTTCGACGAAGCGGGCGCCGGGGTATTAACCCTGTAACCTGTTAGGGGCTTGCCGTTAAGGGTAATGTCGAGGGGGGAAGGCACTTGCTGTCCGTCAGAACTAGGTTGGTCAGAACTGGGGGTTGCGGTGCACTGTTACTGTAGCATGAAGGAGGTGTGAGATCAAGTGAGTTCTGGTACGAGGACTGAAAGCCTGGACAAACTTTCCATCTGTTGAGGGGGCTCAGGGGGGTATTTTGGATAGTAGGCTGTTTCATTTTTGACCCCCCGCTCATATAGTTTTCCATGCCTATCCAGATATTTAAAAAAAACAAAAAGACTTAGTAACTGCGGCTTGGGTAACCTAGCATTAGGTCGGTAGGTCAGCAGTTATCCATGGTTTTCTTAAAAACTCCTCTGAATTTCTTTCGTAGTTCTCAGATTATTCTTAGCTGAAATTCTTAGTGTTCTTAGTCGAAACCAGTAGTTATCTATGGTTTTCTTAAATTTCTCCTATATGATTTTTCTTAGTCGAAGCCCAGTAATGATCTTGGTATTTCAAATTATTTGTATCATTTAATATGGGACGCTGGGCCCGGTTCCCAGCATGTGCTGCTCCCCAAGAATAGACTGGAGCATTTGTCCCAAAAAAATAAAAAATAAATAAAAAATTGTTGCTGCATAGCACGCCGAACGTGTTCGCGCCCCTTCAAGTTTGGGCGAACGTGTTCGCGCGTTCGCGCGAACAACTTGCAAACATGTTCGGGCGAACATTTTTTTTTTCCGTAAAAAAAAAAATAATAAAAAAAATCGGTTTTTGATTTTTAACTCATGATTGGCTACGAATTTGAACATTGTTCGGAGGGTTTTGGGCGCTTGTTCGCGTTCGGGCGAACATGTTCGCGTTCGGGCGAACATGTTCGCGTTCGCCTCCGAACGCGAACACGGTGCTACGTAGATTCGTTGTATGCTTTCCGTGAAATCTGGTCCTTCCAGTCTTGCTCTTTCCATTTCGTATGTGCAGCGTCATCGACAGAGGGCCCAGAGTACCGCCCTACGTCCCAGTTTGAACATATTGCTAGTGAAATCGTCCAATTGGTCCTCCGGCCAGGTTTTGCACAGCAAGGCTTTCCAGTCCCACGGCCACTGGGTCTGAGTCTCTAGTTGTTCCCAGATTTTATCCCACCACCTCCACAACCACACCGCTCCTGGGCACTGAAGAAATTTGTGTTCTTTTTTCCCTCTTGCAGTTTGATTCTCGGAAGGGAGGGGCATGATTGGCCACCCCACCTTTTTAATAGGGGTCAATTTTTTTTTTTTTTTTCCCCTGTTTTTAGTGTTTGGGCGCGTAGGGCCACGTGTCCGAGGCCTAACGCGCCCATCCCGTTTTTTCGGATTCAACGGGAGACGATGATCCCCCGCGGCCGCGGTCACCACGGGCACGACCACGGCCCGCGGTCGCGGCCGTGGGCCCACGGTCATGATTGTGGCGACCGCGGTCTGCCACGGTCTGCCACGGCCGAGGGGAGAGGGGAGAGGGGGTGGGGGTTTCGGATTGGGGTTCCCGAACCCCAACCCTACCCCCTCGAACAAAAAGAAGTTAAAAAAAATAAAATTCGGGGGGGTCGGTTTAAGTGTGTGGAATATATATATATATATATATATATAAAATAAAATAAATCTTGATTGTTTGATTGTTTGATTGTTTTTTTATTGATTGATTGATTGATTGATTGATTGATTGATTGATTGATTGATTGATTGGTTAAATGATTAATTGATTGATTCATTGATTGATTGGTTGATTGATTGATTGATTGATTGATTGGTGGGGGAGGTCCTCCCTACCCTCCCCCCGGCACAAACACACACACACATGCACACACACACACACAAACATACACGAGCACACACACACACACACACACACACACACACACACACACACACACACACACACA